ATCTTAAAGTAGAAAAGCAAGTCACAAAGAGCTAGAAATCCTCTGATCTCATTAATGTAAACAACAAGACTATATACAACTGTAGCTACATATTTATGGGTGTATAGATGTAAATGATAGAGAAAGGTCTGGAACAGTGCTCTGTGATAAAAATATAACGTGAGCCACAGATATGGCTTTCTTTTTAAACTTTCTAGGGGCCACATTAAAAAAGTAAAAAGAGGGGCTTCCCTGGTGGCGCAGTGGTTGAGAGTCCACCGCCGATGCAGAGGACACGGGTTCGTGCCCTGGTCTGGGAAGATCCCACATGCCGCGGAGCGGCTGGGCCCGTGAGCCATGGCCGCTGAGCCTGAGCGTCCGGAGCCTGTGCTCCGCGGGAGAGGCCGCAACAGTGAGAGGCCCGCGTACCGCAAAAAAAAAAAAAAAAAAAAAGTAAAAAGAAACAGGAGAAATTCATTTTGATAATATATTTTATGTTACCCAATATATTCAAAATATTATCATGTCAACAGGTAATCAACATAAAATTACTGGAATATTTCACATTCTTTTTTCTTACTAAGTCTTCGAAATCCATGTGTATTTTACACTCACAGCACATCGCAATTGGGATTCTCTTTACTTCAAGGACTCAGTAGCCACGTGTACTAGTGATTCCTGCCTTGGACGTGCAGGTCTGGGAGGACACACCCCAAACTATTCCCATTGGTCATTACTGAAAGATGAAAAATTAGGGGACTGGAAGGTGTGAAAGAGGACATTCTATTTTCTTAAACTCTTTTTTCTGTACTCTTTGAATCCCCCCACCAAGCGTGTCTGTATATTAACTTTGTAATTCTTTTTAAAAGCGAATAAAAGTGAAAAAAAAAAAAACCCAGCCTCTCAGAGTGATGGTGAAGATGGCATGAGATCATGTGGAAATCATTCTGTAGATGATAAAACCCTGTCCAAATATGTTTGTTTATTTATGCCCCTCCTTCTGCCAGAAAGGTTGGAGCGTAGTTCACAGGGATATGTAAAATACAAAAGTAACAAAAGTTAAAAGTGGAAGCAAAAAGAGAAAGAAAACCAAAGGTGGGGGCCTCCGGTGAGGTTCACCCGGTTCCCAGCATCAGACTGGGGCCTTCCAGCAACTTTCCCGTGAGGATGTCAGCTCTTCCCCAGGCCCTCTGGAATCCACTGCCTCCCCCTCCTACTTTCCCTCTTCCTCCCTTAATTTCCAACATCCCCACCCTCGGGCAAGACCAGGCTCCTCACAGCTCATTAATTCTAGCCTCTGGCCTTTGGTCCTGCTGTTCTCTGTTTCATGCTCTCCTCACCTGCCTCATCTACCTGCCTGGACCCCTCCTGCTCAGGAGTAACTGCCACCCACCGTCCCGGCCCCCATTCACCAGCCCTTGACAGTCTCGCCCTCTGAAACCTCTCACTGCTGCCTCCCACCATACTAAGTAACTCTTTTTTTTTTTTTTTTTTTTTTGCGGTACGCAGGCCTCTCACTGTTGTGGCCTCTCCCGTTGCGGAGCACAGGCTCCGGACGCGCAGGCTCAGCGGCCATGGCTCACGGGCCCAGCCGCTCCGTGGCATGTGGGATCTTCCTGGACCGGGGCACGAACCCATGTCCCCTGCATCGGCAGGCAGACTCTCAACCACTGCACCACCAGGGAAGCCCCTAAGTAACTCTTGACCATATGCTGTCACGTGTGGCTTTCCCACTCAAATGAACAATTTCTGAGCACCAGCTGTGGACCAGGAACCGTGGGAAGTTCAGTCCTGCCAACAATGATGTCTTATTCGGCTCTCACGGAGCTTCTGAGGGCATGGGGTTCATTTACTCCGAGGCGGAGTTCTGTGAGACACCATATCCTCCTTCAAAGTCCCCAGGGTCCCCATGGTTGATTCACTAGGATCTGCACTAGTGAATCATCCCTTCACTTATGCCACCCACCAGGAGCTGAGGCTTTGCCCCACACCCCTTGGTCCTTCCTTGCCCAACTTCTTCCTTCCTTCTCAGGACCCATGAAACCTGAGCCCCCTTCCCATCTCCCCCGCCAATCCCCAACAGGGGTCACAGCTCCTCTGTATCGTCAGGATGGAGCACTGAGGCGGGATCTGTTTCCCCCATGTCCTCATTGAAAATGTAGACAAGAAGGGAAGGCATGGCATTGCTCCCTTGGCCTTAGCATGCAACCCTGCAGACCTTGCCCCTGGCTGGGGACACAAGTGAAGTAAGTGAGCCGGTGACGCCTGAATCGGGTGGGGATGGGGGTCGGAGCCGCAGACTTCCCTTCACGTCCCATCCAATCCTTTCGGTCCTTCCATAGTAAAGACAATTGGAATTATAACTGTAGTAATAATAGCTAACATTCACGGAGATTTGCTGAGCCAGTGTGTTAAAGCGCTCTGCGTGGCCTAGCTCATTTGATCCTCACAGCAGCTTTATGAGCTAGCTTTTATTTTTATCTCCATTTCCCAGATAAGGAAACCAAGTTTTCTCCCCCAGGGAGGACAGAGGGTAGATTATTAAGCTACAACTGAAAGCAGAAGGGAAGGATGAGCAAAGATGAGAGCTTCCAGAAACACTCCCTTTCTCTCCGTGCCCCTTCTTTTTCCCCAGGGTCTCTTCGTTTCCACTTCTAGAGGAAATGAAGTTAGAAGAGAAAGAAACAAAAATAAATACAAGGAAAAATAAACATAAGGAACTAAAGGCACATCCTTGGTGCGACAACGAGTGATGCTTCCCCCCACCCCCTGCCCACCAAGGCACCAGCAGCAGGGGATGGGCTACCTATTGGGAAAGAAAGGAGGGGCTTGCCCTATTTCTATAGCAACAACCTTTCCAGGGCTTCCAAAGACCAGAGTCCAAATCCCCTCCACCCCATTGGGTGGCCCAGAAGAGTTCCCTTGCCCAACCTTCCAATCTGGAGGGCCTCTCACAGGGGCCCATTCATTACCTGGCCAGAAGCAGGTTAACTCCTCCCCCAGCTCAGCCCCCTTCTCCCAGGCTGACAGCTCTCCAGCCTGCGTTGGCCCTCACTCCATTCTCCCCTTTGCCCCAGGAAGGGGAAGGGTCCCAAATCTATTAGCACAGCAACTAGGGAAATGCAGACGGAAGCCTCCCAACCCCACGGCTGACCCTTTATTACCCAGGCCTCTGGCTTGTCTTGCCGCAGACCCTTGATCATGCGGGGTAGCACTTCCCCAAGATGAGGGTCTTTTAGGATGCTGCCATCACTTGTCTCTAGGGAGTCGCCTCCTCCAGCACAGGGTCTCCACAGCTCAGCTGGGCCTGGCTCCTCCCCTGAGCCCCAGGTGGCCCCATCGCAACGCTCACCCCACCCCCAGCTGCCCCAGAGGGTGTTCACATTACCGTGTAGGTGCTCCCAGAGGCTGCCGGCTTGTCCAGGAACAGTAGTTCCTTCTCTGAGAAACAGAGAGGTCAGCCAGACCCCGTCGCCAAGCCAGCAGACAAGTGGAGGTGGGCGGGGAATCCAGGCAGGAGTGACCTGGCACTTCCTTTTCCCGTCAAAGTCCTGCCTCTCAGCTGCCCTAAGGAGGGGTGGGGAGTCTGTCCCTGTCTATTGGCAAAGTCCAGCCAAGGTGAGGGAGGATCGCAGGAGTCAGTGGACTAGGTCTAGTACTAGGTCTAGGACTAGTAGTCTAGGTCTGGAAGGGAGGGGACAGAGGGAGACAACCTGGGTACAGGTGAGACCTCTCTAGAGTGCCCTCTGCTGGTCAGCGGCTGTCCCCCACCAGAGACTATTAAAACGGAACAAGGTAAGAGGAACCCTAATCAGGGCTCCTCAAACTATAATGTGCACGAACCACCTGAGCGACCTTGTTAGAATGCAGGTTCTGATCCCGTTGGTCTGGGGTGGGGCCTAAGGTTCTACATCTTAGAAGGCCCCAGGTGATGCCATTGCAGGCTGTCCAGGGGGCTTAGACAATACCTAGTTCTACACCCTTCCTGCACAGATATGATGGTGGAGGCACCGAGTTAATGACCCACAGCTGCTGGCGGCATTGGGGCACAGCCATATCTGCTCCCTACCCAGTGCTCTTTCCACTGCCCGCAGGGATGCTGTCCCTTGGGGGAGAGTTGAACTTCAGGCCGTTTGCCAGCCTGGTCCTTCCTTTGACACTCTGCCACTGGAATGAAAGCTCCCTGTGCAGAGGGATGTTTCTTCAGCCATTTGCTCTGTATCCTTAGCTCTCAGTACAGCCCGATCCAAAGTAGGTGTTCAATAAAGACTCGAATGAATGAATGGGCCAGCTGAGAGAAAAGGGGCGGCATTTTGAATCCAGACTGCCAACACTGAAACCAGTGACCCACCTGCGGGCTGTGTAATCACGGGCTAGTTTCTCAACCCTTCTGAGCCTCACTCCCCTTGTCTATCAAATGCACATAATAATATTTACTTTGCGAGGGATAATGATGGTCATTATTGAGCTAATAAATATAAAGTGCACACCACGAAATGGTTACTCAGTAAGTGGTAACTTGTCACTGTGGTCTGGCCTCCTGCAGCGGCGGTCACTCCCCCAGGCCCGAAGTGATCGTCTACCATGGAAAATAAGTAAGTGCTGCTGCTTTCGTCTTAGTTAATGATTCTCTAGCCTCTTGTCCCGGACTGCACCCCCTTCCCCTGGGCTGCCTTCCCCGGGAGGAGGGGATAAACACCTCCCAGGGGTGCCCAGGTCCCCAACGTGGAAAGATGGGGCAAAGGAATGGTGGAGAGCAGCCAGCCTGGGGAGAGGACCTCATGTCTAAAGCACAAGCAAGGAAGAGGTGCTCAGAACTTTGATAGGAATGAAGAGCAGACGTGTTGGACTTTGCTGGACAAAGCTCTGTCTGAGTCACACAGGAGGCTGGCTGCCTTTTCCTCTGAGTCATGAGGTTCTAGGGGTTTGTGAAACAACTCTCAAGCTCAACTCCAAGCCAACTAGCAGGCAATAACCAGGGGCTGTGTCCATGTCTCATAAGATCATTTCTGAAGCTGGTGCTTGCCTCACTGGGGACAGCCCCAGTTACAGCCCCAGTTCCGGGGAAATCTGAGGGTCCCCACCACCGCCACGGACACAAAGCTGGTTCATGGGATGCAGTGACTACAGGCATGAGCAGCCTGGCAGCCTGGGGCTCAGCCGTCTCAAGAGGTCCGGGTCTCACAGCACCAACACCTCAACAGTTCCATCAAGGGGACTTCTCCAGAGGCCGGGTCTAGCAGGCCAGGGCGTGCCCTGCTGAGACGAACGCTTCCGGGCCATGCAGGCAGCAGCCTGGGCTCCCCAGCCAGTGTCACCACCCTTGTCACTGGAGAAGGGCAGGGCAACTAGGAGCCCCCTCCACCCTCCTGCCATCCCCAAGCCTCCTCTGCCCTCCACACATCTTATATCCCCGGCACTCAGTCTGCGCGGTATGCTGCCTGAGGTAAGGAGAACACAGGCCTGGGAATAAATAAAGGGGCGCCAGGAGTGGGGAGGACAGGAAAAAGGGAAGGGGGGTCGGGGGGACCTCCAACACTGGATAGAAAGGTAGAAAACACAGACATAGAGACACAGGAAGGCAGAAGGTGAAGAAATGGACGGTGAAAAGCAGAGAAAGAGAAATAGAAAGACGTACAGGCAGACAGGGTGGTTCTCCCTGTCTCCAGAACCTCCAGGACACGTTCATGGACCCTTGACCGGAAAGGATGGAGTAGGCAGTCACTCCGGACACTGAGAATAACCACATTTTTTTTCCTTCTAATCCTGTCAATCATGGGGTGGAGGCTGAAATATCACGGGCGAATGAGAAGCATGGTATTGGGTGGGGGCCTTGGTTGGAGGAGGGTCTGTGCATCATCCCACGTGCAAAGGACATGCAAAGCTACGTGCAAATGAGTATGGCAGTGTTTTAATCAAAGACCAAGCGGTGGTTTCCTCGAGAAGTCAGGCCACAAAAAAATCTGGGTGGTTGTGTTTGTGGCCCCGACCCTCTGGAAGCAGAGGGATGGAGGGGGAACCTCCCCCAGCTCCTGAGGGGAAGATGAGAACTTTGGAGAAAGGAATCTACAGTGTCACTTGGCTGAGTTTGCATTTGGGCGGGAGCTCGGGCAGGGTGGGCCCCTGGGGTTTGCTGGTCTGGTATAGCGAGATAAGCCCGGGGCAGTTGGGCAGGCCAGTTCTGGACTAGAAAAGACCCCTGAGGATCTCTGGCTCCTGCCTTCCAAATGTGGTTCTTCCAGGTTGGTTATGTCAGCTTGGTTGAGTTCAGTCTGAGACACTGTCCCCATCGAGGGACTGCTATGTACCTGGCCAAGTGCCACCCACTGAGAGAGGCAGAAAAGACGGGCCTACCTGGACCTGAGATCCAGGAGCCAGACACACGCTGGGGGAGAGGAGTCCTTCACTGAGAAGCAGTTATCAATACTAGACAGTACACTCCCAGTGCCAAATAAGCAGTGTGGAGAAAGGAAGTCCATGGAGGGTGGAAAAGGGGGAAGGCAGTGTGGGCTCAGAGGAGGAGGGTGTTTGCTCACCCAGTGGGGCTTCTATGAAACATAAATAGAAAGACGCACAAGCAGACGGGCTGGTCAGCCCTGTCTCCAGCACCTCCAGGACATGTTCATGGACACTTGACAGGAAAGGAAGGTGTAGGCAGTCACTCCGGACACTGAGAATAACCACTTTTTTTTTTCCTTCTAATCCTGTCAATCATAGGGAGGAGGCCTAGGCCAGGCCTATGAGGGGCTCAGGCCAGGGAAGAGTGGCAGGTAGGAGGAGACAGACGGGCAGACACGGGGAAAGGACTAGGAGAAGGCCACCGTCAGTGTGTTCTCTCCCTCCCCAGGCTGTACCTCCTCAAGGAGAATGTGGCCTCAAGGGGCCGCCTTTGTGGCCCTGCCCCTCCTGGGGCCCACCCTGGTCTGGCTGCTCACCCATCATTGGATGTCTGGTTGGTGTGACAGCCTGAGAAAGCTGCCCTGGTGCCCATCCCACAGAGTCTTGTTGCTGGTGTGGACAGCCATCTACTCTATCGCGGGGTGAGTGTCTGTTTCTCATGCCCTGGGGTGGGAACAAGTCTCCTATCCCTGAATGGCTGCTGTACACTGACCTCTAAAGGGATGGTACCTCATCTTGCCTCTTCTGGGGTGTCCCCTCTGTGCCTGCCTCGGGTTCCAACCCCTCCCTCTTCCTCTACCCTCTCCCAGTATCCCCATCCTTTCCCCCACCTCCCCACCCCCGGCCCTCAAATGATGCCTAGACCCACTTACCCCGATTTCAGCCCATAAGGATTCCCTCTTGGTAACCAAAAGGCCCTAAGCCAGAGGGCTTTCTCCTTTTACCACAGAACACCCTCCTCTGAACGTTTCTGCCACCATCTCTCCACAGATATGCCTCCTACCTTGTGTGGAAGGACCTGGGAGGGGGCTTTGGGCGACCCCTGGCCCTGCCCCTCGGCCTCTATGCTGTGCAGCTCGCCATCAGCTGGACTGTCCTGATTCTCTTGTTCACAGCCCACACCCCCGGTCTGGTAAGGCGCCAGTGCTCAGCAGTGGAATAGGGTGGGGGAAGATGAGGCCACCAGGCCCCAGAAGTTGATAGCACAGCAGGTCAATCAGGTGTGGGCAGGTAACGGTTGGGCAGACTTCTCTGAGCTTCCGCGGCACGCACAGAGCGCTGGGAACTTGGCTCACTAGGTCCAGGGTGCTGCAGAAAGGTCGAGGGCCGGTTCCCAGGGCAGCCTGCCTGACCGCCCTGACCCTGCCCAGGCCCTGCTGCACCTGCTGCTGCTCTTCGGGCTGGTGGTGAGCATGGCACTGATCTGGCACCCCATCAACAAGCTGGCTGCCCTGCTCCTGCTGCCCTACCTGGCCTGGCTCACCGTGGTTTCTTCCATCACCTATCGCCTGTGGAGGGACAGCCTTTGTCCAGAACACCAGCCCCAGCCCACATGGGAGAAGAGTGACTGAGGCAGGGGGCAGGGGAGAGGAGAGAGGGCCAGGGTGGGGATAGAGGAGACCTCAGGCAGGGCTGTGGAGCTAGGGTGGGGACGGGGGAGGGGGGGGAGGTGGCAGGGCTTGATGAGTCCCTGAAGGTGACTCGCTCCAATGTGGCCACTGTCCTGGGTCCCCTGGTGCCACTTTCCATTAGGATTCAGAGACATGGGAAAGGAGGGAAACTTATTTCACACTTAAAATAATAAATTCTGTATTAATAAGAATTAATTTAGTAGTATCAATAAATAAAATCCTAACTATCTTTGAGGGTATGATGTGAGATGTATACTTGAGTGTATGAGGTCCAGGGCTGCAGGGTGGGAATAGACGTGTCTGTACATCTGTGTGCATGTGCACACGTGAATGAAGGTGTGAGCGCACGTGTGGGAAGAGTGGGCACACCATTTCCGCTCACATGCCCTCACAAACCTGACCCCAAAATTTAGGACTCGGATTTTTTTTAACAGATTTTTTTTTTTGGTCACGCTGCAAGGCTTGTGGGATCTTAGTTTCCCAACCAGGGATCGAACCCTAGGCCCCTGGCACAGAAAGTGGCAAGTCCTAACCACTAGACCGCCAGGGAATTCCCAGGACTTAAATTTTTAATTACCTGAAAAGTGTTTTTGAAAAGTTACAGAAAATCAAAACCAAAAAGTAGATAAAGTAAAAAAGATACCAATTATACTTGTCAAGCTATATATTATATTGATTATATATTTTGTATTATGTGTCATAAATATAAATATATATTATGTATCACATATAAAATATTATATAGTCTACAGTATATTAATTTTATTTAATTAATTTATTTTAATTATTATATTATATTAATTTCACTAATAACAGTATCATAGTATATATTATGGTTCTATGATATATTATACATTATATTTGTCGTATTAAGACCTGTCATTATCTCTGATAAGATTATAGATCTTTTTTATTTTTGTTTTCATATACTCATACTATTAGTTTTTTACATCAATTAATTATTATTGTAATAAGAAAAAATGTTGAAAAAGGAGAGATGTAAGCCTCGGTGCTGGCTAGTGAATTCAGAAGGAGCTTCATGTCCAGCCTTCTCTCTCACTTCTCTTTCTAAACTTTCTTATTGGCTTTTTTTATTTTCCTCGTTTCCCTCCTCTTGTTTTCCTCTCCTCTTGTCTGAAAGCCCTGATGGTGGCAAGAAGTGACTGCCCCGGGGCTGGCTCCCCAAATCTTAAATAAGGCCAGCTGGAAGACCCAGGCGCCTTGCGGAAGGAGCTTTTAAAAATACCAACCAGACTCTCTAGGGAGGGGCTTGGGCATCAGTGTTTTTAAAACTGCCAGGAACCCCTCATGTGCAACCCACTTGAGAAACACTGCTGAGGGTGTCCCAGAGCCATCTGGGAGCTTATTAAAAATGCGTATTCCTCGGACCTCACCCAAGACCTAGGAATCAGAACTTTGGGGGTGGGCTCCAGGCATCTTTAGATTTAACAAGCTCCCAGCACTTCAGTCAGCTGCTCGCTGAAATCTGAGAGCTCCAGACATGGATGGTCTTTCAGGGCCTTTTTTGCTTTGACAACCTTTGGTTCTGCGAGCTGAGTTCTGGGTCTGGAACCAAGGACCACACAGCGGGAACAGACAGAGGACATCATCATTTGAGAAGGAGATTGGCTGTTCCTGGAGCTCACCAAGTGAGGACAAGCGAGAAGGAATTTGCAATCTCCCCGCCTCCACTAAGGGCGTGTCCTGCCCAACTCGGCACATCGGTCACCAGTGTTCCTGGAGGGCACGCACAGTGCCCCACCCACCTCTGTGTCCCCAGCCCCAGAGCAGAACAAAGAAGCTGTTCATACATCTTTGTTGATTGGTTGATTGAATAAATGAACACATGATCCCATTAAAAGACAATGCTGACCAGCACCCCACCAACACCTACACCCCACTCTGGACCAATTGAAAAAGCCTCGGGGGAGGGAAAGGCATTAATAGTTGTTGAAATTTCTCAGGTGGTTCTAATGTGCGGGCAGATTGAGAGCAGCTGCCGTGGGGCGTTGCTTCTCAAAGTGCGGCCCAGTGACCTCCTGGGGCCCTTGTTGATGGCCTGGACTCCAGCCTGGTTCCAGACTCAGGGAATCAGATCAACTTGAGGAATGCAGGCCATAAGGTACGGTGGTTTGCAGTTCCAGCCTTGGAGACAGACCGACTTGGGCTTGGATATTGACCCTATCATTAACTGGTAACCAGGTACAACTTACTTCACTGTGCTTCATTTTCCTCATCTGTAAAACGGGGACCTCAGAGAATTTGGGGTAAGAGTAAATGTGTCTGGCACAGAGGAGGTGCTCAATAAATGTTAGCTGTCCTAGGAGGGGACCCCGGGAGGCCACCTGTTTAATGAGCACCCATGGTTCTGATTCACACTGCAATGGGGACCCACCCTGCTCTGAGACCCCGGAAGTACTTCCCAGACTTCCTAAGGGCCGGGAGAGTAAGTGACCTTCCCCGCAGGTCTGTGGGCCAGCTTGACCAATGTTACACACACAAAATGATGGGCTCTTTTTCTTACACATTCACGTGGATTTTGACTTCCCCTCAATCAGATTTTTTAAAGCTTTCAGTTAAATTGATAACTCCATCGATCCAGGTAACTGTTTTAAATTTATAAATGTAATCTATAAATACTGATCGAGGACAGGCTCAGGAGCCACACTGCACGGATTCTTATCCTAGTTCCACTTAAACAAGTCTACACCCCAGAAGTATTTGTCATTGTCATTACCATCACCATCTCATGTAGGCATTGCAGATACTTGCTACCACATTTTATTCATGTTGCCAACTAATTCTAGAAATTAAACTGGCCCTCCGAGAGGATGCACCATGCCTGTCACGTGACTGTGACTTCTGCAGGGCACGCTGATACCACAAGTCCCGGGGTCCAGATGCCTCTAGTTTTGGATACTGGCCCTAGAAGGAAGCTTGATTTGGGCAGTGTCCCAAGCCCTGGAATAGCATGACTGCCCGGCACAGCTTCCTGGCTTTGTGCAAAAACAGCTGGAAAGGGCAGGATCTCCAACCCCAAACTCGTAACCTCTGACCCCAAAGTCATCCTTAAAATCCCCCTCAGCACCAGCTCCTTGGTTCCTGAGTGGGAGCCTCTAATCCTCCAGCCTCCCCACCTGCCTGGCCCCTTGCCCTTCCTCTACCCCGCCTCCCAGTCCTGAGCCCAGTCTGGAGCACACACTGCCCTCGGCCCCTCCTCTCTTGTTACCTAGAGTTGTGCCCAAATCGAATCGGAGCTGCCTTCTCTCTTTGCCAGATGTGTCCCGGGATTCCACCATCCAAATCACGTGTGTGTGCTTCTGTGTCCTTGGGCAGTGTTTTTCCATTTGCCTCTGAGTGGGCACCTGGTGTCTGAATATGATTCACTCGGTGGGTAGGGGAGAGGCAAGGCCTTCACCAGTGTCTGGAGAGGTGGGGAGCAGCTCCAGGTGAAAAAACAACCCCAGGAGGCAGTGTGATGTCTCATTCTACTGTATCCTAGTTCCCTCTCTTCTCCCCTGATCCCTTCATTCTTCTTCCTTTTGCCAATGTCTGCAGAATGGGGAAACATAGGGGCAGGTGAAGTGGGGCAGAACGGTAGGTGTATGTCCAGTGGATAACCGTCGGTCGGCTGGGCTGGGAGGCGGGCAGAGTGCAGGAAGTGTTTTCTCTGTGCATCTCTGGTCCCTCCTACCTACGGGCAGGTAGAGGTGATGCCCTAGTGGAGGCGTAACTGTCAGGCCCGGGCCAGGGCTCCAAAGTCTTGCTTCCCTTGTGGTGGCCACCATCCAATCTATTTCCTGGGGTTTCCCTGCACTCCAAGCCCAGTTTCAGAGTCTTCCCAGAGATCCCTTTTCCCGTTGTTCCAGAAAACAAGCACAAGACCCTTTTGTTTTAAAGATTTATTGCTGATCCTCGTCAGTGACGAACTAGTTACCCATCCAAACAAAGCCTGACTTTGGGGGGACCCACTCAGATCCGGCACCCCTGCCACTTCCATCCTCAAGCAGGGTCCACCGAGGCCCTTCCCCCACCTAGATTTCAAGGACCCTCCATAACAGAGGTCCCCTCTTCTGGCGCGGGAGTTAAGAGAAGCCCTCTTTGTCACGCCAGGAGCCTCAGTGGTATCTAATCAACCCCATTTGTCCCTCTAGTGTCTATACCTCTGAGGTCCCCCAGCCTGCCCAGAAATGATCTGCTCAGAGGAGCACCCGAAAAAGCCCCTCCCCCCTCCACCGTCACCTACTCCAACACATTTCTAAGGGCTGAAAGTCTCTCTCAAAAGTAGATTGGTAAGTTTATCGCTTTCTCCCAGTAGGTTCTTCAAACACCCTTTCAAAGGGGAACACTATTCGTCACCTTAATGGGCATGATTCTTATCAGATCGCTCTCCTCAAAGACTCAAAGCACCAGCCACGGGAGCCAGGCGGTGCCAGGAGAGGCCACTGGAATGGAAGACCGCGCGGTGACCAGGAATAAAGTCCCAGGTGTCACCATTTTCCCCAGGGCGGTGTGTCCTGCATGGCCAGCCAACCGTGATGTCCTGCACAGGAGGAGGTTGGAAACTCCCGCCTGCCCTGTGACTCTAGAGCCTCCTCCCTTCCTGGCCTCAGACTCTGGAGGCCCTTGGCCCCCATCCCACACCCTGCCAAGGCTCTTGGACACTCCTGTGTTTATGTCAACAGAGCGGTTGCTAGCGGGGTCAGGCTCCTGCCCGCCAGGGCTGTGCCTGGTGCCCGTGGCCCGTTGTTTGTGTACCTCGTCTTGGTAGTGACTGAGGGGCGGGCACGCCAGGGCTGGGTCTCTGGGGCAACGCATTGTTGGGGTCCCAGCTGTCCCTGCACATAAAGCATCCACTCTGTCAACGGGCTCGCGAGGTGTCTTCCTTCGCAGAGTGAGAATGTAGACCTTCTCCTGGTGAGGCTGCTATTTTCCTCCAGCCCGCCACCCCACCCCGGCCTCTCTACTCCCTTCCCAGTGACGGCAGCTCGGCAGCCCGCCGAGACCCAAGGAATAGCCGTGCCTGACCCTGTCTCCTCCTCTCAGCCACCTCCTAGAACCTTGGAATATTTTCTGAAATGACCGTGGGAAATGGGGCAGGGAGAGGCAGGCCGCAGCCTACCTGGGCCTAACCCAGCTCCTCCCAGACACAGAGAGGGGCCTGGGGCCTACGGAGACAGATTGGGAGAATTCCCTTTTGGGTTTCCATCCCCACTCACCCGCTGTCTGGTGTCTCTATACCTATACCCCCTACACACACACACACACACACACACACACACACACACACACCCCTCATATACTAATTGCTTCCAGAGCCCAATCTCCCTGCAAGAACTCCTTCTGCCCCTAGTCCCCTTCTTGCCCCTCCTCCCTCAGAGCCTGGCCTCAGGGGTCCTGGTAGCAGTAGGGACTCAATGGTAAAGGAGTTAAGACTCTGGAACCACAAAGCTCTGCTCTCACTAGCTATGTGACTTTGGGGGCAAGTCACTTAACCTCTCTGATCTCAATCTCTTCACCAATAAAATGAGGATAATAATAGTACCTACTCCAACATCCTTATGAGGAGTAAATGAGTTCCTTTGCGTGACCTGCTTAGAGCCGTGTCAAGCCCCAGGGCGGGTTGAGCCCGTGTCAGCTCTCATGTTACTGAATT